GTAACTTTGCCTGAATATGCAGCCATGCAGCCATGAATGAGCGCATGTTGGAAATAAAAGCGCTGAACTGAATTCTCTCTCTGTTGTCTGTAGTCTCGGAGTCACGGAGTCACGTAGATAATCCGTCAAGATCCTCTCCCAATAAAGATGCAACTTTGCATGAGTTACATAATACAGACATGAATGAGCGCATGTTGGAAATAAAAGCGCTGAATTTAATTCTCTCTCTGTTGTATATTTGCTCATCATTAGTCTCGCGAAGCCGCTTTTATATTGCTGTTCACTCACCGAGTTGATGCTCAGGAAATGCTCCAGCACGGCCACCGCATGTAAATTTTAACAAGATTCACTTGTTTAAAACACCCTAAATTATATTAACATTTACTATATAACCATTATTTCACTAATAATCATCAAAATAAATACAACTCTATGGAAATTAATTATTTATTTATTATCTCCACGAGCGATTGCAGTTTGAGTATAGTTCTGTATAACTGCATAGATAAACCACGCTGTCAGCAGGCATGTCATAATCTAGAAGGACAAAAACATTATTAATAATTCTGATATAACATTCCAGTTGAGAAATGCAATAAAATACGATGTTTTGTTTGTTATATTCCAATATTCTAGAGAATATTATTCAGTGAATTAACATTATCCAGTTAATTATTCTTGACTCTGTAGCTATTAAACAGCTTATAAACCTACTAAAACTGTAGTTTAAAATGAAGTTGATATGACTCCTTTCCTGTATTTATTTTCTCCATTTGAAAACCTACATTTATTTTGCTTATTGTTAATATTAGTGTTGTTGCTGTTGATGATTTTTATAAATAAAATGTTTTTTTATTGTTGTAATAAGAAGATTAAATTTAACATGAAAGACTGTTAAATTTAACAATGAAAGACAAACATGAAGTATGTTCTTACTTCACTCAGTCATTTATTTACTTTATAACAGTAAATAAATATCGGTTCTGCATATCGGTTATCGGGCACATAAACATGCAAATAATTGGTATCGGTTATAAAAAAATCAATATCGGTCAATCACTAGTTAGCAGTCTGAGAAAATGCTTCACTGGAGTGGCTATCAAAATAACTTGGTAAATTTCTGAACAAATCATGACTCTAAAGTAATATGTTACACATAATTAGTTAATTAGAACTTTGTATTCATAAATTGTAGTGTAGTTAATAGTCTCACATTGACAAAAGTTTTGTAATAAACGAGTAAAAATTCTAGAATTAAATGACTAAAAATGTAAAAAGGAATTCTAAAAAGCAAAAACAATTCTAAATGTAAATCAAATATAAACAATTCTAAACTACTACCTTTATTTGACCCTCTAACTCTAGAACTTTCTATTCTATTTTAATTGTACTTTATCTTATTAAAAAAAAAAATAATAATATTTTTCTATTCTATCTACTTGTTTTTCTTTGTGTGCTAAACTACTACCTTTATTTGACCCTCTAACTCTAGAACTTTCTATTCTATTTTAATTGTACTTTATCTTATTAAAAAAAAATAATAATAATATTTTTCTATTCTATCTACTTGTTTTTCTTTGTGTGAATATATATATATATTATACACCTTATACACCTTTATATATATACACCTTGCTACGTGTACTGCGTTAGGCTAACCGAGACTTGTCATTTGCACTTATATATTGTTGCTCTTTTGTTAGTTTTGACTGCTTTTATTGTCCTCATTTGTAAGTCGATTTGGATAAAAGCGTCTGCTAAATGACTAAATGTAAATGTACTAAAAATTCTAACAAGAATTCTAAAACTGCAGAAGTAAAAACATTTTTCCCCAAGAAAAAAAACCAAAAGGTTAAAAATTAAATAACTAAACTAAATACTAAACTACTAAAAATGAAAATTTAAAAAAGAAAAAAAAAAAACTAAAAACCATCTCACTTTAGTGTTGGTGAATTTGTCGTTTGAGCAGGTGGCCAGCAGGACACGTCGGCCTGTGTTGGTGAACTGGCAGTGGTTTATCTGTTCCTCATGTTCCTCCCCAAACTCTCTGATAAGAGTACCCCGCTCAACACTCCACAACTACAACACAAAACAAACTTCTCATTCTCATGACTGATGTTTGAACAATGTTCACACAGAACTTTCCCACATAATGACAGTATAGTGTGATCATATCGGTCAAGCAACAAAAAGATAAATAAACCGTATACATGTTTTGTAACAGCATGAAGATGAATATTTAAAGAAATTCTGGAACAAACCTTCCAGAAAGATACTGATCCACAAATAAAGTGGGCAAAGAGACAGACACACTTACCTTAACCTTCCTGTCACTGGAGCAGGTAGCAATGTAACGGTCATCTGGAGAGAAGGCACAGCACAGAACATCTTCATCATGAGCCTGAAGCTCCAGAAGTTTCTCTCCAGAGGTTGTTTTAAACACCTATTGAATAAAAAAAAAAAACTAATTGGGATGTCACATAATACTGCACATAATGTCAGGGAAAAAAGCAGGACACAAATAGATATTTACCCGCAGCGCCTTGTTGGCCCCACAAGAGGCGATTTTACTCCCATCTTTGGAAAAGCAAGCATAGTAGACAGACCCCTGCTGAGGATGCATGACCAGCCTGGACAAACTGTCCTGATTATTTTTGCTCCTAAAGAGTCAAAACACGCTTTCAATCAAAATCAATCGGTTTCAATCTGATCTACTACATGAAAGTTACTGTGTGAGCCCAGTGAGATACATACACCCAGTCCAGACAGAGCTGCCCTCTGCTGGCCCTTTTCTGCGCCTGCATCAAGGCCTGTCTGTAAACCTCTGAACACACAGGCTGAGACAGAGCCAACTGCACTATGTCAGGAAATGGCCTCTGCTCCAAATGATGGCCATTTAAAGACAGGAACTCCTGAAACTGCAGTCTCACCTCACTATTCTGTGTGAAAACACCACAATTTATCATTAAACAGAACAGGCGGAGGTGTGCTATTCGTGCTAAGATCGTGACAGTTTTTTTTAGCAATAAAATGTTTTTCTTTTACATTTTTAGAATCAATTTAAAATGTATCAGACTTGCAATTAAAACTAATAAATATATATATATATATATATATACATACATATACACACACACATTTTTATTACAAATACTTAAAAACAACAAGCCATTATCATAAACATGTTTATCATATATATATGGGTGTCCAGACTGAGGCACAACAATAAAATAGTGACATTTGGCAATATGGCCATTTTATACAAACTGTATTCTGTGCCAACTTCATGTAAATATTTTTAGTTATTTGGTCTGTAACTTTTAAACTGATTAAGATGTGCAATTGTGAGGAACATCAATAACAATCAAACTTTAACAGTATAAATACCTCTTTATCTAGTATTTCACCATATTCTACATAATCGTTGATAAGATGGGGAGATCCCATAATCTGAGCTTTCTCTTTGACCCAGTCCAATGAAAACATCAGTGAATATAGCTCCTGTAATGAGAGAACTGAATGTTCATGATGTAATCATTAGAAGATTCTACATACTCTCCAGAGGAACGGAAATGTTAGTGTAGACTATACTGTAACATTACCTTAGACAGTCCTGCTTTAGCCATGTGGTATGGGAGGAAGCGGTACCAATACAAACAGTCTATATCTCCAGAGCTGGGTGGCCTTTCATTGTAGAACTTCTGGTATTGACGGATCATCTTTTTATGTAGTTCCTACAGGAAATAACAATTCAGACCTTGTTCTCTGGTGGTCTCTTTTAAAAAGAGGTGCAACATAACTCACAGCAATTTGATCACGATTCTGTTCGACGAGAAAGTCCAGCTGCAGATCATGAAGGTAATAGTGGTATGGTCGCTGGTTACAGTCTCGAAACAGCAGAGATTTATTCACAAACTCCTGTAGGATATCCTCCACCTCCTCCAACTCAAGACCCCACAGTACTGACAGAATCTGCATGAAAGAAATAAAATGATTAAAAACAACAAAAAAAAAAGACTAATTTACAGAAAAAAAGCAATTAAAATATCCATCCTTGTGTCACACTTGGAAGTACAATTTAAATTATGAATAAAATAAATGACACTGATTCTGCATCTACCATTACTTTAGTAGTTGGCAACAGATTTTCTGTCTGACCTTAGCAGGCACTTTGATGTCTTTCTGCATGACGCTCAGGTCTCTGTACAGATCTCTGTGTTCTGGCTCCAAAACCTGCAGACTGGCGTCCATGGCCTGGTCCAGAGCTTCATAGTCGTAGGACGATGACTTACGGATCCGCTTGAACTGCTTCTTCTGCAGCTGTCGCAGGTAGTAGCTCCAGCGGTCAGGGAACTCCCTCAATAGAGCTCCAATCAGAGAAACAACCAGAGGAGAACCTAACAGGACGAGAAACGATTACAATGGTCAGAGGTGTAATGTAGATCACTAATGGTACTTCATTATTATACCAGAGTATTAAGTACTATTACTGAATTGTTATGCAAAGGCAATAGATAAAGAAAATAAATTATTGAAATAAAAAAAAATGCAATACATTTTATATAAAAATACAGTATGAAATAAAAATGAATTTAAGGCCAAGTCATTAAACTTGTAATTATTAACCTTAAAAATAATTTCAGAACCAGTTACAAGCAAGATATCTATTATAAGGTTAATATGACATTGTAAAGCGAGGTAGCGGACAATACCCAGCCCTAATTGACAATAAGTGGGTGAGAAATGCTGTTCTTGTGGCTGGGTCATGTTTGATCAGCTTTTGCTTCAGTTTTGCATAAAAAGGGTGATTTGTACCTTTACATTCGCTCACAATGCTACGGGCCTCTTCTGGAAGTTTCTGTGGTTTCCCATTGACATACAAAGCAAGAATTTCCAGGGCTTTCTCCTCATCTAGACCGCTCTCAACGGGCACTTCAAACCTTGTACCTACACACAAACAGAGAAAAGCGCACACACAAACAGTATAAACCCTTACTTTTGAATGAAATTAGTATGTTAAATGAATTATGCAAAATAGCCACAACACTATAGACAAAGGAACATTTCTCTCATAACCTCAGCTGAAAATAGCTTATCTCCAAGAACAGCTGCTCTCGGGGTTATCAGAGTTTTACGTAATTTCATTTAGTTCAGAAGTTGCCTTGGATTTAATTCAAATTTCATACGCAAGCAGGCACAAGATCCAACCTAGTCATGGATTAACCTAGACTTTTATTTAGGAATAACCACTCTGTGCATTTGGTCCAGAATCCATCTGTGAAATGCAAACTGGATGCACTAAAATGAACTTCTCACCGCTAACAGAGTCGGCCAGACTTCGATTACGCGTGGTCAGAAGAACTCTGCACTGGATATCAAAGGACCTGAGAGCAAAGCTGTCCCACACATCGTCCAGAATCAGCAGGGATCTGATAGAAGAAAATGAAAGGAGAAAGGGTCTGATTATCAACGGACGTACATGTTCTGTGTAAAAGTGCACTGAAATCATATTCTTCCTGCACTCACCTAGGGAACCTGCGGTGCATTAGAAACCGTAGACGCTCTTTGGCCTCCTCCACGGAGCAGGGTGGCCGCAGACTGGCATCTGAACTTTGACCCTGCTCCAAACGGAAACATAAAGACTGTATCCTTACCAACAGGTCTGCCCGCTCACATTGGCCGACAGAAAGCCAATGAACGCCACCTGGAAAACACTCTGAGCAACAGAGAGAAAAATAAAATATGTTATATGAGCACTTTTAGCCCTGTGGTCTATTAGAAATACTCTTAAAACATACTTTCAATTAAAAAAAACATTTTTTAAGGTGTGAATTACTTTGTCCACTATCACTTTAAGAATATTATTATATAATTACAATAAAATAAAAGCACAAAAAAGCAAATAAATACAAATAAAAAATATGCTAAAACAAAAACACTAAAACCTAAGAGAACAAATAAACATACATCCATAAATCTCAAGAAACACCCAACTAAAATACAAACCCGATTCCAAAAAAGTTGGGACACTGTACAAATTGTGAATAAAAACAGAATGCAATGATGTGGAAGTTTCAAATTTCAATATTTTATTCAGAATACAACATAGATGACATATCAAATGTTTAAACTGAGAAAATGTAT